ATCTGATCTGTCAACCGCAATTCGACAAAGTTGGAACCAGCTTGAAGAAGTCGTGGGGGAAGTCGTGGCCTAATGGTTAGAGAGTCGGAAAAAATGGCTGCCCACTGCTCCGGGTGTGTGTTCACTGCTGTGTGTGTGTTCACTGCTGTGTGTGTGCACTTAGGATGGGATAAATACAGGGCACTCACAGGGTCACCATACTTGGCCACATGTCACGTCACTTTCACTTTTCAGGAAGAATATTGTTTTTCATTAGTGAAGTCCATGCCCCAAAGAATTCAGGCCATCATAAAAGCAAGAGGAGCAACAAAGTACTAACTGTGTGTTTTGGTAGATGATTCCATAATTTTTTCCTCAACATTGAATGATTCCATATTATTTTCCTCTACTTGAAATGGAAAACAAATTTTCATTAATTAAGAGTTTAATATCTTTTTTTTTTTTTTGAGGTATGTTTCACATAACCACAATGTTGAATTATTAAACAAAAATTGTTTTGTGTGATACCTGTGATTCTTTTATTTGTTATGAAGTTGAAAATTTGGGTAAATAACATCTAAGTGTGGTGATTCCATATTTTTTGCCAGGGGTTGTACCATAGACTGTAAAAAAAGATAAAATATAATTATTATAATAGTTGAAAAATATGTTAACACTTAGATGTCTATGTGCCAACCTGCTACGATTTACTTATTTTCCACAGTAAATAAATAAATGTTCATCAAATATTTTAAATGCTACAATATAATAACAGAATAATCCGTTTTAGAAAATATTTGAAAACTTACTTTAAAAGCATAGCATTATTTCTTACTCTTCTTTTCACTCATCTTTTTCTCTCCAGACTTCCAGAAGTAACTCGCTTAGAGCTAAGCTACAACCCCATGACCTACCTTGGAGAGGAGTCTGTATCTATGCCCAAACTCACTCACCTCTTTCTGGATCATAACTCCCTGCAGGATTTTTCAAACGCAGCTATCCTGCTTTCTCCTCGTCTCGCTTATCTGGACCTAAGCCATAACCAGCTGCGCGTCCTGCAGCCAATGGCCCCCGGCTCTCCCAAACTGACTCGCCTCAATCTGGCAGGCAACCCCATCTACTGCAGCTGCTACATGCGGCCTCTGCGTGAGTGGGCGATGCGGGAGCGTGTTCGCTTGGGTGGTACGTGTGGCGGTCCTGCACATCTGTCCGGCGAGAATCTGGAGGCGGTACAGCCCGCTGATTTGCGCTGTCAGAGCCAGGAGGCCATGCTGAAGGCCGAGCTGGAGGAGCTGAGCAGACTGCCCACACTCCCCACAACCCCACCTCCAGATAAAGTCAAATGCCCAGCCAACTGTCAGTGTGAGGTGAGTGAAGACTTACTGGGGTAGATGCAAAAATAGAGTGACACTCCATTTCCCCCACTTAATTTATTTTACATTGACTTGACTGCAAAACATCACAAATGAGGAGCAATTTTATTTTATAAATTATTATTTTATAGTTTATTATTTTTGTTATTATTAATATGATATCAAATAATATTCATTTGCATTCTCATAAGGCATGTCATGTGGTGCAGCTCCCCTAAAACCTAATAATTTGAGATATAAAAAATAAATAAAAAAAAACTTCTACGTGGAAAATGTGTTTATAACCTTTTTTTAATTAAATAATGATTAATAATGATTCAAAGTTATTACTTTCTACTTTTCACCACAGGACATTTTTGAAAATAGTATAAAAAAATTCATAAACATTAACACTGTGTGCACATTTCTATTATACTGGCATATTTTTAAAAAATCTGTATGTTATTTATTTATTTTTAACAAAAAAGGTTTTCTTTATCTTGAACTCTTAAGTGACTTATAATCAGTAACTAAAACTAAAACCATTTTCATTTCTTAAATTAAATAAAATATGATTTTATTTCAGCCATTAGCCATTTCTCATTTTAAAAGTTGAAATACTAAAATAACTAAATAGAAAAAGAAAACAAAAACTAACAAAAATGACAAAGGTAAAACCAGAAAATATTAAAATAAATTTGAATGCAAAAAATGAACAAAAAATATAACCGTATAAAGTAATACAAAAAAACCCCCACTATTGTCATTGACCCACATACATTTTATAGGTTGAGAAGCACCACTCATCTTGTGAAAACAAAGGCCTCACCAAGATCCCCCGTGGTTTTTCACCGGACACACGCTTGTTGGACTTGCGTGGCAACCATTTCCACTACGTTCCTGCAAACAGTTTCCCAGGCACTGCGGAAGTGGTTTCCCTTCACTTGCAGCGCTGCAAGATCCACGAGGTAGAAGATGGGGCTTTCAATGGAATGAAGAGTCTGGTCTACCTCTACCTCTCAGAAAATGACCTCACTTCATTGAGTCCCGAGGCATTCAAGGGGTTGCCCCATCTCACTTACCTCCATCTGGAGAAGAATCGTTTCACTCAGTTCCCCAAAGGAGCATTCAGGCTGTTACCTGGTCTGCTGGCTCTGCACATGGAGAATAATGCTATCGCTAAACTAGAAGCAGGGATCCTGACAGGCGCTGAGAAACTGAGGGGCCTCTATCTCATTTCCAACGCCATCACAACGGTTGCTTCCAGGGCCTTTGATCCTGCACCTGACTTGGATACTCTTCATCTAGGCACAAACAAACTCAAAGAAGTTCCAAGTGATGCCCTTTCTAAAGCCAGCAGCCTAGCAGAGCTTAATCTCTCCCGTAACCCTATTCGCTGGATCGGACCAGAGGTTTTTCAGCCAGTTGCTGCCACACTTAAACATCTTTACCTTAATCATATGGGTTTAGAAAAGGTAAGGATAAAACATTTTCTAATGCTACAAGAGGAATGCCAAACTACGTTTAAATCTCTCTTCTATCTCTTACCTTTTGAAGGTCTCTAAAGATTCACTAGCAGGACTGGGGTCTGGTCTGAGGAGTCTGTTTCTTGAAGGAAACCAACTTGAGGAGCTGCCAGACTTGGGGCCACTCACAGGACTCGAGGTCATAAACTTGGCAGAGAATCCACTGGTCTGCGATTGTCCACTGTTGCCTCTTCGCAAGTGAGTTTTCTTCTTAAAATGAACACCACCTTTCAAAAGTGTGGGCTTGGTAAAACTGGTAACACTTTACAATAAGGTTCCATTCATCAACATTAGTTGACTACATTAGTAAAAATGAACTAACAATACTAAAGGCTTTAGACGTATTTTTCATTCTTAGTTAAAGGGTTAGTTCACCCAAAAATGAAAATTAGCCCATAAATTACTCCGCTAAAAAAGAAAATAAATTAATGATTTTATTCAGCAAGGATGCATTAAATTGATAAAAAATTACATTTATTACGTTCCAGAAGATTTCAATTTCAAATAAATTTGGTTCTTTTGAACTTTCTGTTCATCCTAAAAAAAGTGTATCATGATTTCCACAAAACAATAAAGCAGCAATATTTTTAAAATATTATGAATTAGGCTTTGCCTTCACAGAAAGAAAATCACACACACACATATATATATAAAAGTTGTTTTAAATTGTAATATTTCACAATATAAATGTTTTTACTAGTTTTTTTATATAAACGCAGCCTTAGTAAACCTAACAGATTCTTTAAAAATATAAAAAAAATATTTTCAACAGTAGTGTATATTAACAGTGTTTTTTCATATGCAATTATGCCAGTCTTATGATTTAGATTCTTCAATATGCTTTTGTCTTGACTTTTCATTATTGATATGTGTTCAAATACATTCATCTTACTAATGTCAGAAGTATGAATGGCCAATTTTTGCAGTAAGTTTTAATGAATGGGAGTTTTTAGTTTTGCAAGTTACAGTAGGTGCGTCCTAATTCACATACTACTGCACTATTCTATGCTGTTTTGTAGTATAAATAGCGCGAGTAGTGTGTTCACACTGAAAATTCAAAAAAACTAAAAGTGCACTTTGAATACCTGGATGATGCACTTAACGAAGTGTGCAATGTTGGACACTTCATGCACTCAACTGTTGCAGCTTTAAATTACATAGCGCAGGGCGAGTGGATGTCAGACTCCGATGTTAAATGACAAAATAACTTTATTTAATTCATACACTGCACGGTTGAGTGCATAAGTACATAGTGTATAAGTGTAGAGTGCATCATTGGGGATGCAGCAAGTATGCTTTCATAGTACAACACTATCTTAAAAGATTGAGAAAGTTTTGATTCCCTGTGATGAGTTTTAGCTGTTAAAAAACAGTTACTACTGGTCTGGTTGAAAGGAGTTTGTTATGGTCTTACAGATTATTCATCATAGAGTGGCTTGAACTGACCTCCATCATTGCATTGCGGATACTTGTTCTTTTTGACCCTTGTATTGTTCCTTCTGCCACTAGGTGGATCGAGCTGGTGAATCTGAAGGTCAGAGCCACCTGTGGCCACCCACCAGAACTCAGAGGTCAAAGGGTCAAAGACGTCCATGTTTTTAAGAGCTGCCCAGGGGGAAAGCCTCCTCTTATTCAGCACCCAAAACCAACCAAGGCCTCAAAGACTGAATCTGCTCTCATCAGTCCTCCAAAAGTCATCAAGATAATCAAAGCCAAAGGCAAACCAAGCAAAAGTGCAAAGCCTAATACAATGCAGAAAAGTACCACGAAGAAAAGGAAGTCGGTGTGATTCTGCTGTATTTACATCACAGTAACTGATGTAGATAAATATAACCTGAAGCCCATTTTAAATGGTTTTCATTACTGAGGGTGCTTGTTTTATATATGACTGTTTAGACAGTACATTCCTTTAACAATCAAGCAGGTTAATTGAACAATGTTAGTTCAGTGGTCAGTAAAAAAATTATTCACTTCTGGTAATATACCTTGAAATCACCAAGAATTTGAAGATCGTTTAGGCTTAATTCTGTTGCAAAAAATGAATTCAGAAAGTGCCTTAACACAAGTGAAGTCATTTTAATAGAAGATCGCAAGATTTCAGTAATGTGAAAAAATGAGAACTGTATAAAAATAAAGCAATAATATAATCACTTAACAGCTTGGTTGAGTTAAATAACTACCAGTGTTATTTCAGAACAAAAATTAATGGTTAATAAACAGACTACCTGTGTTTAATACTAAAATCCACAAAATAGACAATCTGGTTCACACATTTGCCTATATATATTTTTTTATATTAGCAGAGTAGGGTTAAACGGAGTCCTCCTGTTTGAAGGTTGTGAAGGGTTCTGGGTTGTCCCTTTCTTTGGTTTGTGCACTGGATAATAAGGGGGTTTCCATTTCCTCCACCTTCACTTTTACTGAAATAACTGTAGAGAGACAGGCAAATCATGTAAGAACGAAGTATATACATATATATATATATTTTTTAATATACATTTTTTTGAATGAAGAGATTGCTACATACTTTCTTCCTCAGGTTCAGTCTTTATTTGTGAGGTAAGTGGAGTGACAGAAGGGTTTGATGCCTCTTGTGATTGATTCTTCTCTGGATTCTCAGTGGGCTGTGCGGGCTGGATTTTAGATGTGCATTTACTCATGTTTTTCTTTATAAATCTGCGCTCTAAAGTGAAAAATACAGAATCATAAGAGACTGAAATGCTACTGACAACACAATATAAAACTAGTTAAGAGAAATTTGATGAATGTAACCATCATGTGCTTTAAATATTTAAATCGTTTAAGAGTCAACAATTCATCGAAGTAACCAAAAATTAAACTTACTCCTTTTTCCCATAAAAGGTTTTGCCTTTTTGCTTATGTGTGAGCGTTCTTGACCCTGAGGTGGTTCTACACAAGAGAGCAAAATACAACATGTAACAACCAAATTTTGGACAGCATATATGAATACTATGAAAACTGCAATTATTTTACCTGGGCCGATGGGTGGCTGCAGCTGGTAGCCAGTGATTTCACACCAACCCACAGGATAAATTTCAGGAGACTGACAGTCTACCCACTGATCAAACTCAGGCTCCCAGCCATCAAAGTGAAGAAGGAGAAGCCGGCCTACGCAGCGCCTAACAGTGGCCACACACACCAACCGCGGCTCCATGAGGTCCACTGCCTCTAGCTTCATACCTGAGGTAAAGCCATGGCCTACATCATCCTGGGAAAGACGTATGAGGGAGGGACCACAAGATGAGCTTAAAACATAAACTCACATACGCATTAACATATTGTATATGGCTCAACTATCCAAATAAAAGGTTTACTGTGTTGAAAAGTCTTCGTGGAGCAGCTACAGTTCCTGTTTCTTCTAAATATTTCGTCCATATGAATGTGGCATGATCATAACCTGATGAGAAAGGAGGCAATTTCAACAATTTTTCAACAATTTCTTTTACTTAAATCTTGATTTTAGAAGTTGAAGACATTACCAGGAGGTAGGGTAAGAGGTATGTTGTTGTTCTCGCAGTATCCAACAGGTAAAATGGCATGCGAGCTGGCATGATAACAAAACCAGTCCGAGCCATCACCGATCTCGACACCGTCGATGCCTACCATGATGTATCCTTCCAGCAACACCTGAGTGATAAGATAAGCAAGGTCAATGCAAATACTTTTAACAAGGTACTGAAATTATTCGCTTCAAGTAATAAATAGTGGCTGTATCGTACCTTACGGACTGATGCGACGCAGATGTTCCCAAGGTTCAGAGGATCAATTGCTTCAAGTTTCATGCCTTCCTCAAAAAACGTATCTCCCATGTAAACTGTCCTCAACTGTTTGCATAGAGTAAGGAATTATACATAGTAAATGATTACATGCCGTAAGATTTTTAAACTAACAAAAAGAAAAAAATAAATTTTGACTATTTTAGTTTAACATATTAGTGAAATGGTATATGCACTAACCTTCTTGAACTGATCTGGCACACTGTTTTGAAGGACTTTGCGAAATGCTGGATGGCTACTCATGTTGACACTTGTATCTATGTGAGAAATAAGCATATTTTCTACAAATAACATAAGACAAACAACAAGTGACAAAAAAGTATGAAAAAAACGAGGTAATTTTTTTAATGTGAGCCATGAAAATAATAATAATCATTAACACTTTATTTTGAAGGTGTCCTTGTTACAAGTTATATGCACTTACTATTATAATAACAATAAATTATACATAATTACATGCAAGTAACGCTAAGCCAAACACTAATCCTAACCCTAACCATTTAGTAAGTACATGTAAGTTAATTAATATTACTCAGTAAGTAAATGTATAATTACACTTTAACAAGGACACCTTAAAATAAAGTGTAACCTAATAATCTTTACAAAAATAAATAATACAAATTTGCTTTTTTCTACGGAGCCCTGCACATGACAAAATTATGTACCCAAGATTAACTCATTTGTGGCAACGTTTTATTAATTAACTCGTTTCAGTTACACCCTTCCCACAACTGGCTATCATTTCACTAAAACAAGCCAACAAATATGTTGGCAAATATGTCATGGGAACAAATTCTTCTTATAAAACCATATCTTTATTGGACAATTATGAATTATATTAAAGGGGTCCTATTATGCTCTTTTACAAAGTCTTGATTTTGTTTTGGGGGTGTACTAGAACATGCTCTCATACTAGGTTGTTCGAAAAACACATAATTTTTCACATATTTTACATTATTACAGCACCTCTCTCCCCAGTCTGGCATGAACGGCTCGAATAGTCAGTGTAAATATTGCGTCAAAATCACATCAATTTGAGAGCAATTTAAACCCGGATGATTGTAACCACTCTAAGTTCGTCTGCCTTGGGAAAGCTAGCGTGTCTCCGACATACTGTAGTGATAACACTCGTTGCCTTCTCTAGTGCAGCTTGAAAATCCGAATGTGTGTCATGTGTGGGGATCAGTATTTTTCAGCTTGCTCATGTCAAATTTTTTGCATGTTTGTAATAACATTTTGTAATTTTGTAATAAACTCTGTTCCTTCTCACCTGTTTCTTTGATTGAGTGGCCCACTCTTTCAGACCAGCCTACAGGGTGTAATAGAGGACTCTGCATGTGACACCAGAAATCTGAGAGCACTTCACCCGAGGGTCCCAGGCCCCCATCCTCATACAGCAGTCTGAGTCGGCCTCCTACGACAGTATCCACCACTGCCAAACGAGTACGGCTCACCTGCGAGCGATCGACCACCTCCACCCGAACCCCCTGCCTGAACGGACACCTCAAACTGTCTGCCATCTGAAACACAGACAGATGGGAAACAGAGGTTAACAGTTATGCAGAAATGAAAGAAAAACAGATGGTATCAATGGAATAGTAATTTGCCAGTGCTGTCACCTTGACATGAAAGTCAACAGGAAGAGCGTGCGCTCCAACCAGTCTCTCCATAAGGTAGGATTTCCAGTCTTTAATATGCTGGTGGACCTCTATAGGAAAAGAAATCATCAAGATTTAGCATTTTTATAGAATTTATACCCGGTGACCTATGGTGTAAACACTCACCTTGAGGGGGCACCAGGAGCTTGCTGTTCACTGCACACCAGCCTATAGGATGAACATCAGCCGTGCCTAAATTACACCACAGGTCATGGCTGTCATCATCCTCAAAACCCTCATAACGCAGAAGAGCCATATAGCCTGAGAGAAACACAACAAATCGAATTAACACACAATATCACGTAATGGTACCCATAATTAAATTTAACTGCACACTAAAAATGTACAATGTTTTATTAAAATAACATTGATTACAACCTAACAAACTACTCTGTGAATGTGTAGCTTTAAAAACATGTTGTCATATAAACATACAGTCAGTGTAACCACTTTATTTTTGTTTTTGTGTGCACTGTGCAGACAGCCTAGTTTGATAGTTTGTTTAATTAGTTTTGGTTCTTTATTGTCTTTGTATATTAATTTGTTGTTACAAGTCTGTTTAACTCATTCGATACAGACAGCAAACTCAATTTAGGGAAATTATAATGACTTGATAAAATATAAATATAAAACACACTTATGTTCTAAGTTTGAGGTCAGTAAGTTTCTTTAAATAAAGTAATACTTTTATTAAGCAAGACCACATTAAACTGATTGGGAAAAAGTGACAGTAAAGATATTTATAATCTCATTCGATTTCAAATATTTTTTTGAACTTTCTATTCACCAAAGACTCGGGGAAAAAATATGGTTTCCACAAAAATATTAAGCGGCACAACTGTTTACAAGAAATTTTTCTTGAGCACCAAATCAGCAAGACTGAAGTAGAAAATTTCTGAAAATTCAGCTTTGCCTTCACAGGAATAAATTACACTTTAAAATATAATAAAATAGAAAACGGTTATTTTAAATTGCAATGATATTTCATAATGTGACTGCTTTTACTGTATTTTCATTTATCAAATAAATGCAGTCTTGGTAAGCATAAGAGACTTTTCAAAACACACACACACAAATATTAACAATTATTTCAAATATATTTATATTTTATTACAAGTATTAATAATATGGAGTTATATACCTGCCAGCTGCACAACAGTGGCGATCCAGTACACCTTACTTGGCAAGGCTGTGTGAGTGTTGAGAACCTCCACTTTTAACCTCACATAGATGTCGTCCCATTGAGCGCAGAGTGGTACCTGTCATATGGGGAGTAATGGATTGACCATCATAATGCAATAGCAACAATAATGTGAAGGACATTTACACATTGTTGTACACATTGTTATAACATTCACCACATTTATTTTTCACAGGAACATTTTTGCAAGAACCACAGTGGATAGAAAACACTCACATGTCTGAAGCAGGATACTGGAGCAGCGAGGAGGCCACTTTTCTCAAGGTAATTACCCCAGTCAAATCCAGCCAAAGTAGCTTGGACATAGACAGTACCATATCAACATTTAGATATTTGTATAGCTCACTGTAGTGAAACTTAAGAGTAATCTGTGTGTTTTCTTACCATCTTGTCCAAATGCTCTGCTCTCCTGATGCTGCTCATTCACTTTTGAGTGTGAAGCCTCAGTCTGTGATTTCAGAGACAGTTTGTGTGATGACTTCCTAGTGGGTGGCCTTCCCTGAGTACATAGACACACAAAAATTGAGTCACTGTTTGAATAAATGTGGGTATAAATACTTTGCCACACATTCCCACCTGCAGTCGTGCAATAATTGAGGATTTCTTTGAGTTGGATGAGTATGAACGCGAGCATGACACACTACAGAAGCGCTTGGACCTGGAGAAGAAGGTTTCCGTGGTGCCTTTGGTTCCACACATTTCACATGTAACTGCAGAGACATAAAATTGAGTTGGGTTTACATATATTTGTGCATGTTCATTAATATAAGTGTTCCTGAATTTACCCATTCCATCACTTTCTGCACAGGAAGAAAGTGTCACAGAATTATTAACATCATCATCACTGGAATTCTGCTGATTGTGGTGTTCTCCATCAAATATTCCTTCTTCTCCATCATTCATAAATGTCCATTCCTGTTCATCCTTTTTCGGAAAAGCAAAGTTATTTATTAATTAATCAAAACAATCGTTAAAAAAGTAGTAATAAAATGCTGATATACACACACACACATACCACCGGTCAAAAGCTTGGAATTATTTTTTGCTCGTCAAGGCTGCATTTGTTTGATTAAAAATACAGTGAAATATTACAAATTTAAAGTAATGGTTTAAAGCAGTTTTTTTTTTAAATATATCTTTAAATCAGATTTATTCCTGTGTAGGCAAAGCAGAATTTTCAGCAGTCATTACTTCAGTCTTTCAGTGTTACATGATCTTTTAGAAATCATTCTAATATAATGTTTTGTTGCCCAAGAAACGGATCTTATTATTATCAATGCTGATAGCAGTTGTGCTGCTTAATATTTTTGATATAATTAGTGCTGTCAAATGATTAATCACGATTAATCACATCCAAAATAAAAGTTTTTGTTTACATAATACAGTATGTGTGTGTGTTCTGTGTATATTTATTATGTATATATAAATACAAACACATACAGAATATATTTGGAAAATATTTATATGTATTTACATGTGTATATTTATATTCATGTAATTTATATAATATCTAAATATATTTAATATATAAACAATATATTTTTCTTAAATATGTACATGCATGTGTGTGTGTATTTATATATACATAAATATACACAGTATATTATGTGAACAAAAACTTTTATTTCGGATGCGATTAATCGCGATTAATTGTTTGACAGCACTAATATTTACCTAGGCCTAGATTATAAATGTCATTTGTGATCGGTTGAATCTGACGTTGCAGAATAAAAGTATTGAATTATTTCTTAAGAAATCTTACTGGCCTCAAACTTTAGCAGTTTTCCAATTATTATTATATTTATTTATTTTTTGCAGGTTTGGGCCTCCATACCAAGCCTCGGGCTTTTTCAAAGAGTCTGCACTGAAAGAAGAAAGAGTCATGATGAGACACTCACTGATGCGAGCTGCTGAGGTTCAGTGGTCGCTCTGCGTCTCCTCTTCGTACAAAAGGAACAGGAGACACCGCTTCCTCCGCAGTTACTGCACGGTGGTCGGATGAAAATCGTCGGGACAGCGCCATCCTTTAGTTTCAGCCCTTTGAATCCCATCGTCTTTGCAGCGGCATAAGATTTCGGATCAAAGCAGTCCTTGCTGAAGTGCTCAGAGCACAGATGGGAGTACGTCTTGGCGACCCATTTCTTTCGGGTCTTCTTGACCTGCTTCTCCCATTTGCGGAACTCCTCGGGGTCTTTGGGAAATCTGAACATTGCGACATTTTGCCCGCTGAACTTCCCACAGCCATAAGCAACACATCGGTTAGGCATTTGTAATTTTTAATATTGATGTGGGATCAAATAAAGGTCCACAGCGTCTTCAGGAATATAGTTTGCAGCTGGCTCCAAATGTTGTCTGGGAATTACATTCAAGAAGCATTAAAACATTTAAATAGTTCCACCAGATCACATTAAACCACATTACTTTACTGTTACTAGCAATCATTCAATGGTGCACGCATATAAACAAAGTTTTGAAGAGCATCTAAGAGCTCCCTATAAATGGTAACCACTGAGCAAAACTCAAAGCAAAAATATGCATATTGTTGTGTGTAAAACAGAACTCCACAACAAAACATTTCTCACCAGCTTTAACTCTTAGAAAATACAATGTGGTGTGGTGGTTTGCCTATCGTGAACAGCGCATTATCGCCATCATCCGGACTGGAGAACCAGAACAGTTACATTACAAAATTATTTTATTAACCTGTATGATTTTATACGCTGGTTGTTTGTAATACGATGTGATTTTATAAAACCCTTAGTAACACAGAAAACTATTTATTTAATCTATTATACATTAGCTATTAATTCAACAATATAATACAAAAGTGGCACAACGTGGTTCCATGGTGTAATGGTTAGTACTCTGGACTCTGAATCCAGCGATCCGAGTTCAAATCTCGATGGAACCTGACTTTTGTTTTCTGTGAGGTAACTTAAGACAAGTTTAAGCACGTTGTATTTTATAGTGCGTTTCACAATGCTTATACTGTACTTATAATTAAACGAAAAATATCAATAATAAAAAGGGCACTTAAACAAGAATGATATTGCCAGTCTGGAAACTGTAATGCAGAAATCACATAACTGTACCTGTACTCATGGCTCCTTTTTGCAAAGCTGAACTGGGTCAGTAATGTAACCTACATTATTAACACTACTAACACTTGCTGTAAGTGGAAAGATAAAGATTATTCATTCTGTTAAACAAGTTCATTTAACAACTGCATGCATGTACAAGTTCTCTAAAGGGCAGGAAATTAACTTACTAGCCGAGTCTTTTGTTTATAAGTGACTATGTTAAATTGAATTGGTAAGTTTTATATATGAAGTTGTTTGAACAAATATCATTTGGCCTATCATCCAGTTTTCGTAGGTTTTATATGTATAGCCTACTCTTTAAACCATTTTGTCCTGGGCCCCATGAATTTTAGCACCGACTCTCCGAATACTGGTGTACAACTCACATTAGATCTTGCAATTTCTTGGCATTTTTGTGTGCAGTATTCATCAGATGGTCAGTGAACGGACAGTGGGTCAGCTGTGGGTGTGTGGATAACCATAACCTTGACAAGTAACCTTAGTGCCTTCAGTAAAGTAAAGACTCTAGCATGGCTAAAAAAGAGTGCTTGAGGCTTACATTTTGAAATATGGGTAGACAGATGATAAGTGAAGGATAGATGTTTGGGATTGGAAAACAAAGTTTTAATAATGCATTGATTTGAACTAAAAATGTATCATAGACTGCCAGCCTATATTGCTATTAAAGGGGTCATAGGATGCTTCATGCACTTTTACAAGTTGTTTGAACTGAAATTATTGCCAGCAGAGGCAATATTTTAAGTCCTTTGGGAGTGTGGATAACTGTCCTGCAATAATTGTCATATAGCTTCAAAAATATTGATTCGCTTAGCCACATTGTTGGGTCTATATTTAAGCAATTCTTCCTTTCATCTAATATATATTAATGAAAATTGTAATTACTCTGGACTGCGTAAATTAGCTACATTTTGCCAAATTAGCACTGCTTACAAAAATGTTAATACATTTTTCAATAGTAGGCAAACTACTTTTATAAAAAATGAAGCACTGGAGAGCATTTTCACTCCAAACTTCTCTAAAACTCTTTCAATCCTTTGTTAAAGAATGACGTACTGAAAAATACTATGAGGATAAAATCGACTGCTATAGTATCGCTATAGCCAATGAGAAATCGAGGGCTAATCTAGAAAGTTATTTTCTAGTAACTTGACACTAAAATAAATTAGATAATAATTAAAAATAGCAATCTGTGTTAAATATTAATGTAAAACATGGACCTTTATTAATGTAAAACATTAATCTTTATTCAAACAATTTACAATTTAGGTGTCATATAGCTGTCATGCAACAGAAATTTTGAGTAGGCCTAAAACATGTAATGATTTAATATTCTGTATATTAGCCATTTTTAATTTCTAGTGTAATGAATGGAAAAAAATAGATTGACAGTTATATTTGTAGTAGACAATTGTAATTCATATTCCACCGCATGCAATTCTTGCATAAATCAAATAAAATGTAGGCTAATTCTTAAAGGGGTCATATGATGCGATTTCAATTTTTCCTTTCTCTTTGGAGTGTTACAAGCTCTTGGTGCATAAAGAAGATCTGTAAAGTTGCAAACACTAAAGTCTCAAAACCAAAGAGATATTCTTTATAAAAGTTAAGAGTTAACCACGCCTACCTAAAATGGCTCGTTCTAACACGCGAAACTACTTTGTTTGGTCTTCCAAAAGAGGACACGACTACAAATCAGTGGTTAAGTTGTATTTACAACACTGTTCCAGAACAGTT